CGAATTGCTCCACCTGTTGATGCAGACCTCTGTATTCTCCGTTTCTGCCTTGAATCGTTGCCAAAAATTTAGAATAAATTTACTTTTTCGTAAATACTCTATGTTCCTTGTGAATAGGGTTGTAGTGAAAAGACTATAACATCGTTATAATAGAACGTTTTACAACTCTAGAGTAATTATTGTTATTGTTATGATAATAAGGTACAATTAATAAATAATCGTCCTTTTGTTTTCTTTCGACAGCATTCGTGCTCTACGTTTTCAGTGCCTTGGGAATCACAGCTGGTGCTCACAGATTATGGGCCCACAAATCGTACAAGGCAAAATGGCCGCTTCAGTTGTTCCTCACGATCTGCAACACCATGGCTTTCCAGGTAAGCTTCGATAATAGTCATGGTATTTTTATGTAGACAGTCTGGTCAATTAAATAGTTTAAACGATCAAGCTTAAGCGATTTTCTCTAATTTTTGTTTTCTTCTTGTTACAGGATGCAGCAGTCGACTGGGCAAGAGATCACAGGCTCCACCACAAATACAGCGAGACGAACGCGGATCCTCATAACGCGAAGAGAGGTTTCTTCTTTGCGCATATGGGCTGGCTACTCTGCAGAAAACACCCTGACATCTCAGAAAAGGGCAAAGGAATCGATCTCAGTGACCTGAAGAATAATCGCATTCTTGCTTTCCAAAAGAAGTCAGTATCCCTTGCTAACTTGTTCCTTAATCACAAATCACATGTACAGTTTAAATTTTAAAATAAAACTGCAGATTGAATAATTATTAAATTATGTAATGTCACATTGCAAATTAAGTTTTACAAACGTGATTTCATAAAAAAAATTAAATTTTGCAAATTTAGTTTCAGAGAAAAAATTGTCTTAGTTATGTTTATATACTTAACGTAGTAGAATAACAGTTTTCACAACAATAACTTTTTTCATTTGTTTCAAGGTACTACAAATACCTCATGCCCTTAATGTGCTTCATCATGCCGACTGTCGTGCCTGTTGTGGGCTGGAACGAGACCTGGTCAAATGCTTACTTTGTAGCGGCGATATTGCGATACGTGTTTTGTTTGAACATGACGTGGTTGGTCAACTCCGCTGCTCATCTCTATGGATTTAAACCATACGACAAGTTAGTATCACAGCCCAAAAGAAAGGTTCAATATTTGCGACTACCGACCACTGATCAAACTTCATACTCAAATATCTTTTTTACTTCGAAACCGTGTGAGCTATAATTTTGCAGAGGTCTGGAGGTTCCTATTAAGTTTAAACCTAATTAGTGCCTCGAGCACATTATTTACATAGCATTAATAGAATAGAAGTTAGTAAATAGAACAGTCACAGTGACAGTACATTAAATAGTAAATTCGACATCAGAGAATTCCGAAGTTTAGAAACCTAAAGTTAGAAGTTCAAAACCTAGTTCAGATTCAAAAATTAACGAACTGTCAACTCATTTTAGGTTCATCAATCCTGTTGAGAACAGAGGGGTGGCCATCGTCTCCCTCGGCGAGGGTTGGCACAACTATCACCACGTGTTCCCGTGGGATTACAAAACGGCAGAGTTGGGCAACTACAGATACAGTGTTACTACAGCCTTCATCGACCTATGTGCGAAGCTCGGCCTCGCGTACGACTTGAAGATTGTTCCCGACGACGTGGTGAGAAAACGAGTGGAGAGAACCGGTGACGGTAGCCACGAAGTGTGGGGCTGGGGTGACAAGGACCAATCACAGGACGACAGGGATCAGACGGTGATAATACATGGTCTGAAGAAAGAACAATAAAAAACGATTTTGTTGAATCTTGGTGGGGGGGAGTCGATCGTTCGTTTCATTGATTTACAAACGATCACGTCTTTTTGTACGGTTCTTACGAGAGGGGCGGGATGACAGTTATCTGAGAATTAGTCGAAAATTAGTTGGAATGTCACTTAATTATACGACCACGCGGCTTGTACGAGGATCGCGATTAACGTTGTCTTCTACTATCATCAACATTGCACAATCTTCAATCGATGTACAAGAGTACCGTTGTTTTCTTTTGTTCTTCCAGTTTTTCTAAAACGAATCTCAGATTTCGTTGTTACACGGAAATCAATGATTTTCTTTCTGATTGTTTATTTTTTGTCAAACTTGTTTTTGTTTTCGAATGATGGTATATCGATGCAGGATCTTTGTACATGCCGGCGGAATCGGTTTCGAAGCGGGAACACTGTTGTTATTCAGGGAACAACATCTGATCATTTGGCAGGTTCTAAATGTATTATATTTGATCCCTGTGTAAACGAGTGAAACAATCCCACGATCAGTCATCGTTTCGCATTTCCTCGACGACGTTCATAGACTGCAGCGATGGACTAGCGTTCGTTGATCGCGCTCAAACCGGATCGGCTTCCCGATTTTAGTCGACGGTTGTTCAACCTGTTTAGACTGTTCCGTACGTAATTTAAGGTTTAGTTTATTCTTGAATAAGTAGTAGTGGGCTCTGTTAGAATTTAGATTCTATTTTACGCTGTCCGTAGATGCTAGCATATTCCTAATGTTTGAATAGCGCAGGGTGGCAAATTACGAAACACGCATTCTGTGAACGCTAGTCGAACGTTAATTTAATGATGACAGATCGAACGAGATGGAAATCGATGTTCGGTTGAAATAAAAAATTAGTAAACGAACGATTTAAGTATGGGATGTACGTATATGTGTATATTAAGCTTAATACAGTGAGGATTCGTTCGATCCCCGAACATGTTGCCACACGTCGATATGAAATCGTTGAAGATCGATCCGTGTAACTACGTCGGATTTCTTCACCCGTTTCTTGTATCTTGTGTTTCTTCTTTCTTGTCTGAGGACTTCCTTCACGACCCGGAAATGCTACTATCCTCCAGATTAAAACAGAAAAGTAAAAAACATTCCAGTATATCTTTCATCCCTCTTCACATCCGGTCATTTAGACAGTTACGAGGTAAATATTGTTTTATATATTTCTCTTTTTGTTCCTACAATGTCGTCAGACAATACTTAGTTGAATGTTGTTCCCTTTCCCTGTCCTTATATTTTTCTGTTCTCATTCATTCTCGATCCATTCATCGATTTCTTCTATTCATGATTGTATCGAATTTAATCTTGGAAAGCATAAAATACAGAGGCGATTCCTCTTTTTTTCGATTAGGTAATCTGTATCAGTGAATCAATCTGAACGATGACTGGTCTACAAGAAATATTTAATAGTTAAGCGTGCAAAAGGAGAGCTTTTATAGCACCAATGAAAATTGATACTTCGTTTAGAAATGTCGTCGCGATTAAAAGCTAGCGTAGCGGCTTCAACAAACGTTTATGTGTAATTTTGCGCTTTTGAAGGTTAAAGGTGAAAACAATGTCATCATCTAACTTATTCGCCCGTTTCATTCAATAAAAAGCAAACGAGCACACAAAGGACAGGGGATTTGTGTGGTATGGCAGTTTGTACGAGATGAGAGCGAGCAATTGTAAAAAAGTTATGAAAAGATAAAAAAAAGGAAAGTCGACAAAGATTTTCAATTAGATTAAGGTACACCCTGCGCCATGGTGATTTCTACGTGTATATTTGTACGCAAGATAATTTGTTGCAAATATTGTAAAAACGACAAAAAAACCAAGAAACATTGTACGCTTACTGTATATTCAATGGAAATGTTTACGATTGTTATACGATCTCCCTGCAAGATATTTCATAAACTTTCAGCGACATTCCGAAAATTCCTACAATCCCACTTTACAAATGCGTATAAAGGTGATGGGCAATTGTAGTAGACTTTCGCTATATTACCGTGGGCAGGTCTGTAGAAGTTTGGAGGTCCTTTCAAGCGAAACTCGATTTGAGAGTTTGTGATTCAAGCTTTTAAAGACGAGAAGCGCACTTTTCTGCACTCGAAGAATTATGAACTTGGAAGTTTATGATACATCTGTACTTGAGTTTGTCATTTGAAAAGTTGTTAAACTCTAATTCTGTGAATTTGCAATTTTGAGAATTTCAGACCTCAAAAATTTCAAAAATATTTACTTAAATGTCTCTAAATTCGAGAACCGGTAATTTCAGAAATTTGAAAAGTCCAGCAAAGTCTCCACTCGTTTCATCTCCTCCACCCTCCAAAAACGACCAACGGTCTTTCCACCTTCGAAAATGGTTTCTTTCTCCGCTTGTTGCACGCGAAACGCGTCGAACAAATGATCGTTGCACAATTTCGTCAAAGGACGAGGTTACAACCGGAAACGCGGGGCGTTTCCGATATTTCAAAGGGCGCGACGCCTTCGGGATTCAAGAAGACCTGGGTTACAAACGTGGCGACGTATTTTCACTAACTCGTTTCGCACGTCCTTTCTCGATGGATGTATAGATAACAGATGTATAAATTATTCTATGTGTAATACCGTATACAAAAATACGCACACGTGTACAAGCATGTATACACGTTTTTCTATGAAGCGTTAACTGGTACACAAAGAAAATTGTCGCGATTAGCTTTATGGAAAGAGAGAAGTGTGCTGTTACCAGATTTTCAAAGACAAATATATGATGTTTTGTTACCAAAAATCGTCGAGGATCATTTATTTCCAGATACGTCCGTTTTATCGATCAGAATGCGGCCCAGTGTATTTTATTTGGAGCACTTGATGGATCAATAAAGATTTCGAAGGTACTGTGTTCGGAATCACGCGAGTTTCCTTTTGTATTCCCTTCTACTGAATTAATTATTTTCAATCATGGTTCAACTTTATTTGTACAATTTACTATATTTCATAAAGGTCACGAAGGTAATTCAATTACAATTGGTTATCGATAATTTATTATGGAACAAGGGTTTATGTTATCGATAATTTATTATGTAACAAGGGTTTATTCTTGCACTATCATAAAATAGTTTCCAGATTTATATTTTTCAGATGGTGCTTAAAATTAAGATGTAAAGATTTCAGTGGAAGACATATGGACTTTCTACATAGTGCTGGAAGTAATACTCGATGCAGTCTGAATCATCAATAACCAAAAGCTCGGTAAAATTGAATCTCGATACTTCGACAAATGTTTTGTTCTTTTCTTCAATGACGAATCATCAGTTTTTCTTTCAGCGTGTTGTACTCGGACTTCTGCTTGAGCTGCGATAAACCTTCGCTGAGTGGCAGCTTTTTCTTCGCCATCTTGTGGAGAACCTGCAGAAGATGGGAGACAGGAAATAAATTTGGAAATAATAGTTTATAAGTTGTATAAGTTAACTTAGTTCTGTGTTAAAACTATATTATTGCTGTATTGATATTTTTATATTGTTAACTGAGCTTATGTCAAACTATTGATATAATATTGATGTGATATAATGTGGTATAGTATGTTATAAGAATACTATAGAATTATGTTAGGATAGGTATATTTGTTTATATTATCATTTATTTAGTTATTTGTCTGACTATATCATAATCTATTTATTTCATTATATCATCAATTATTTATTTTTGTCAGATATTTAATTACATCACTGTACTTTAAATTTCCATACATTGAAGACTCCTGCATGTGTGGCAATATAACAAGAGTCCATTACAATCTTCTATCCACAGCCTTCTCGTCCAAGTTTTTTAAACTCTATCCAAATACTATACCACTTTTTATCAGTTCTTAAAATAGAATTCTAAGAACGTTAAGATATGTTCATGTAGCGAATTTGAGAATTTTGGGATTTGGGAAATTTGGAATTTGGTGAATTTCAAATTTATCAAGTTCGAAAATCTTGTAATTTAAAAATTGAAAAACTATGGAAAATGATCAAATTAGTAAATTTAGGGATTCTGTAAACCTTGATGAATTTATGATTCTAAAATTATATTTGTTTCAAATATAAAAATAAAGAAACTTATTCTACAAGCTATAACAAGGTCAACCTTCAAGGCCACCGTTCATTACATGAAATTTTGTCTGGATCCTTGAATCATCCAACATTCAAATAAATCCATTTACATAAAATTATTCCGAAACATAAAGTTACCTTTTACACTACATTACTAAACCCAGCAACACGAAATAAAATTGATCGAACGAAAGTAAAAAAACTGCGCCATCAAGCGAGACAAAATGTTGGTAAAAAGAGTAAAACTGCTTACTAAAGAACACAGTCATCCATTTGGCGGAAGTGAGCATTAACCATACGTCATAGACCCCAAGAATGTGTAGGTGAATGTACCACAAAACGGCTGCTCATTTCACTGGTTTCTTCTCGGCCGATATTTTCGTTTCACCAGAAACGAAACGTCACTCGGATGTTCCTCTATCGGTTAAGAAAACACCAATCATCAGTTCTTACATTCAAGATTTATAAAACTATCAAGATGATATAAAACTACGAAATGACTGCTCCACAAGTTTCTTTAATTAATTATAAGATATAATTTCAAATTAAGTACACATATGCTGGTATGTTTAGTGTTAAGTTACCTTACGAGTTTCAAACAATATCATTGATCAAATCATTCCACCAATACATTCATGGTTCGAAATTTTTTTAAAAGAACTTTATAACTGATTTGTTATATTATAATTGTTTGATTTGTTTGTTGTATTATAACTGTTTGATTTCTTTGTTATATTATAACAGTTTGATATATTATTTATTAAAGTACACATTTATAAATATTTATAAAGTATTTGTTGAAGAATATGCATGCGCCATTTTTGAAAACGGACCATGAAGAATATCGATAAATCAGAGATCAATGAACGTCCGAATTTGTTGCAATCCAAACAGATTGCAGCATCCAACAGAGGGTTGTTGGAGATTGAAATATTGAAATGTGGTTTGTGAACTGTGAATGAGTGTAAGTGAACTGTTCTGGTAAATTTACCTAACTGTTACCCTGGCGCGAAACACGCTTCTAGAGGACCTGAAGAAAACTACTTAATCGATTGCTAGCCGCAGACCTCGCCGATCAACCTCGAGGCCTGTGTTCGAATTTCATTAGTCATCAACATTTCACACTGTCATTTCCTTTGTTTTGGTGACAGAATCACGTTCGTTAATTCCGTTACGGGAAATGTCGATGGAGTTCTGATGCGATTTCGGTCATTTTGTATGTAGCTTGGAGCGAGGATAGTTATCTCGATATTCGGAAATTGTGAAATTGAAAAATTGGGGAATTTAGGTATTTGATTTGGTAGAAATTTATGTTTGTAAAAATTTGACACTGCAAAAAGTTAGTAACATAACTTATAGAACATACTAATATTAAAAATAATTTTATAAAATTAAAAAAGAAATGAACAAAAAACTATTCCTACTTGCACATAATTGATATCGATAGTTAAACTCTCTATTGGAAAAGTATGAAATATTCATTCGGAATATAAAAAGACAATTGATGCGTCATGAAATACTCCAATCTCACGTTACTATCACCTAATGAATTTTAAATAACTTGAACTAGAATTGGAAATAAAAGCATTAGAATTACATTGTAGTGACCCTAATACATTTTTAATAAACTGAGAAATTATTCACGTTTCTTTTGAAAACTAGTGGAAGTTCTTTCGTAATTATTTCAATTAAAGAATTTACTAAACATACTTTAAAATTAAGTATGTTGATACTTCAGAATTTGTTATTGATATTTCCTATTTATTTTGAAATATAGAAAATTGCATTATGATAGTTTAGAAGTGTTTCTAGTCTTATAGATTTATATTATTTTTTAAAATTGCCGCTCTTAAGCTGAGTGGCGCCATTTTAATGTGAACTATTTGTCGATCGTATTCCCATAACTCAATCAATAATTTATTGATTCATTTTTTATGGATTTGATTGCATTTGTTGTTCAAGTATACGTTAAATTAAATATCAAAATCTTGAATAGAAGTTATTTATCAAATAACACAATTGGACTTTGAATTTTACCGACATAACCTTAACTGGTGTCTGCGTTCGCTTCTAGATAGCAGCCGTAACAATTTTATGGCGGGTTTTTCAAAAAGAGCACTTCTCTTCAAAATCACATCACGGAGTTTTATCAAATTCTTACACAAAATAAATATTTTCAAAAGGCAGCTACTTCCAAAGCTTTGTGACGCTTGTTTAAATCAAATTTTCTACAATTTCGATAACCGTAAATAATCACTTGCAAAGTTAAAATAAATAAACCAGTATGTAACAGAAAATCCTTTAATGAAAAAGATATACCATGTAATAAATAACATCTGTTGAGGTACCCTTCTCACAATCGGCATAAACTTCTCTGGCAGTGGACACAAGTATTCTCCTTAAATAATACTAAAGAATATTGTTCGTTCATAATTCTTATGTACATCTACATAAAAATATAGATTATTTTGTTCATTGTCACTCCTCAAAGGTTCGGCATTCAATCTCGAAGAAAATCAGCGTCTTTCAATAAAAATTTCACTTGGCTAACTCTCTTCGAAACTTGATACCAACCGAAGAACTTTGTTTTTCAAACAAAACAAATTCCTCGAATTATTCTTTAAATTGCAAGTTAGAATTGCAAGTACAAGCAAGTTGTACTATTGTACGTTCACAGACATCGCTTCTTGTTCATCATTTCTAATTTCTGAAGATCTGCAGGTGGGATATCGGCGTCGCCATATCTCCAAACATGGCTGCCATTGCCGGATCTGTTCGCTCTTTGTCGAACCATCGCTGGCGACACGTATTTGCGATCGTAGGACCAACCGATCCACGCGAAGAAGTCGATGAAGGCCGTAGTGATGTTTAAGGAGTAGTTCCCTAGCTCTCCCGTTTTGTAATCCCACGGGAACACGTGGTGAAAGTTGTGCCAGCCTTCGCCTAGGGCTGCGATGGAGACTGCGACGTTCTCCACCGGGGAGATGTATCTACAATTTATTGATGTTGTTAGCTATAAAATAATTTGGTACATTTTCTGTAGAGTTACAGTTTTAATAGTATTCTCTAGTAATTGGGAACTTGGGGATTTAGTTGTGGGATTTGGAAATTGGGGATGTGGAAAATTTGGAGACTTAAAAGTTTGAACACCGAGGACATGAGAAATTTAGGGATTTAGAAACTTGAAATTTGGGGATTTAAGTGGACCCATAATTTACTATATTTGCGAATTCCCAAATTTTCCAATTTGTAAATCCCTAGATTTCCAAACTTGAAAGTCCCCAAAATGCCTAAACTTCCAAATCCCAAAATCTCCAAATTCTACCATATCCGAATTATCATTCAAAAATTCAATTAATTACTCAGAAAATTAATTATCTATCGTCACGGAATTCAACGAGCTCCAATAAATGAATATCAATTACGTGTTATGCTGTCAACATTCATCGAAAAGTCCACTGTCACCTATGCTTCATTCACTTCCGGTCAAAGTTGCCGGTCGTATTTGAATCGTTATTTCTTAGGAATATTTTTATAGATATGAAAATGGGGTTGATAGAATATTCGTGTACGAAATTCTTGAAAAGAATGATACGTTGTATCTAGATAAAGTTTTATCGAGTTCGGAAAGTACCCCTTCTAGAAAAATCGCGAACAATTATACATATTGTTGCATGCATATTGCATAAACTACGTTAGTCATAGACGATATAAAAGTAGCTCATTCACCTGTTCTACGACATTCTTTCTGTATCTCATCCGACGAAGCTATCATAACTTTTGTGTCGAACTTTTGTTTGATTCGTTGCTTCGGACAGTTGCATTGTAACATTCTTTGTGGAGAAATTGTAAGGTAGGCAATATAGGACGAGTTACGATATTCTTTATACCAATTACAGGAACTGAATTTTGTAATAATTTGTTTTGTGTCATGGGTTAAATTATCAACCTGCTTCGTACGTAATTTTAAAGAATTTCTTTTTCGTAGTTGAAACTTTGTTATTACCATGTTTGATATTGAACTTTCGTGTCTGTGAAATGTTAATTTTTAGTCATTCAAATTCTTGAGTGACAGAAGTTTGGGAATGTTTGCAATATTTTCTGATTTAGAAATTGACATATTACTAGATTTCTAAGTGTGCAAGTTTTTTTATTCAAATATTTCCAATGCCAATGACATATTTTCGAGATTGAGTAATATAGAAATTCAGGACGTTGAAAATATATGATTTTTAATGGAAGGTTTGTATGATTTGCTTGCAGGAATAAAGCGGGTATGGCGCCAAACATCACCAGCTCTCCAACGGGAGTTTTGTTCGAGGGTGAGACGTTAGAGGACACCCCGGTGGTGGCAGAACCAGTCAAACAAAAATATGTAAGACGTATTGTCTGGAGAAATGTGATAATTTTCAGTTACCTTCATCTGGGTTGCTTGCAGGAATAAAGCGGGTATGGCGCCAAACATCACCAGCTCTCCAACGGGAGTTTTGTTCGAGGGTGAGACGTTAGAGGACACCCCGGTGGTGGCAGAACCAGTCAAACAAAAATATGTAAGACGTATTGTCTGGAGAAATGTCATAATCTTCAGTTACCTTCATCTGGCAGCTGTGTATGGACTATACCTAGTGTTTACGTCGGCCAAATTTGCAACGACCTTGTTCGGTGAGTTAATACACATTTTTCCTCTTTGATTGCTTGATACTCGTTTATATCACTAGTCGTTCGTTCTGAGTACAGTCATAATAATTTTTATTTTCTGTGAAACACATATTCTTGTATACATATGGAACATAACATTCTTGAATACACATGTAACATATATTCTTCACATGTAGACCAATAGTTATCCATTATCGAACACTCATTACTAATCACTTATGACTATTTTATACGTACCAATTTCTCATTTGTCATTATACGCTATTAGGCTTTTCGTCGTCAATCATTTCATTATATCCATCGAATAATCGTATGACAATTATGGTCACTTATCATTAATTATAACTCTTCCCTAGTTATAATAGTGTGCAATGATTGAACGCTTGCTGTGTATTAAATCTGATAGTCACTCGTCAGTTCGCTGAACAATGAAATGTTGTTCCGTTTAAAAAGCTTTGTACACAAATTTTCAGAAAAATCTTGACAAATTTAACGAAAGAACGGTTTAGCAAAGATAATATTTATCTTCGTAAATTAAATATTGGTTCTGACATTCGTAGAGTGTATACGACGTGTACTATTAATTACTAAATAATACTATTAAATTCATCTTAGTATATGAAATTGATAGTTATAATATTATAGTTAGATAATGTTGCCAACTGATATTAGACTACAGTCATACCAGAATCTACGTAAATGATTTATGGAAGAAATTATAGTCATTTCCGTATTACATTCCATTTATAAACGACGAAAATTCTCCGGCCAAGGATTGTATAGATTTAATTTGAAGTTTTGAACATTCAATTAATCCCTTTATTCGTAGTTTTATTCCAATTGAGAATCAAGTGATCAGTAATTGAAAATATGAATATAAATAACGAACTCCATCCAGTGCGATCAAACACAAGGAAAAGAGATGTCCTTGTTACATAGTTGTTCAGAGAAACTGATGTACAATGAGGGTAACGAATTGCTCCACCTGTTGATGCAGATCTCTGTATTCTCCGTTTCTGGCTTGTATCGTTGCCAAAAATTTAGAATAAATTTACTTTTCGTAAATACTCTGCGTTCCTTGTGAATAGGGTTGTATTGAAAAGACTATAACATCGTTATAATAGAATGTTTTAATTTTACAACTCGAGAGTAATTATTGTTATTGTTATGATAATAAGGTACAATTAATAAATAATCGTCCTTTTATTTTCTTTCGATAGCACTCGTGCTCTACTTTGTATGTGGCTTTGGAATCACAGCTGGTGCTCACAGATTATGGGCCCACAAATCGTACAAGGCAAAATGGCCGCTCCAGTTGTTCCTCATGATCTGCAACACCATGGCTTTCCAGGTAAGCTTCGATAATAGTTATGGTATTTTTATGTAGACAGTCTAGTCAATTAAATAGCTTAAACGATCAAGTTTAATCTTTGTTAAGATTAATCTTTGTTTTCTTCTCGTTACAGGATGCAGCGATCGACTGGGCAAGAGATCACAGGCTCCACCACAAATACAGCGAGACGAACGCAGATCCCCATAACGCGAAGAGAGGTTTCTTCTTTGCGCATGTGGGCTGGCTACTCTGCAGAAAACACCCTGACATCTCAGAAAAGGGCAAGGGAATCGACCTCAGTGACCTGAGGAATAATCGCATTCTTGCTTTCCAAAAGAAGTTAGTGTTCCTTGCTAGCTAGATTCTTAAACACGAAAAGATTCTCAAATTATGTGATTCTAGAATGCAAGTTGAGTTCAGAAATTTGATTTCATCAAAAGAATTAAATTTTACAAATTTAGTTTCAGAGAAAAAATTGTCTTAGTTATGTTTATATACTTAATGTAATAGAATAATAGTTTTCACAATAATAATTTTTTTTCAAGGTACTACAAATACCTCATGCCTTTACTGTGCTTCATTGTGCCGACTATCGTACCTGTTGTGGGCTGGAGCGAGACCTGGCCAAATGCTTACTTTGTAGCGGCAATATTACGATACGTGCTTGGTTTGAACATGGCGTGGTTCGTCAACTCCGCTGCTCATCTCTATGGATTTAAACCATACGACAAGTTAGTATCAGAGCCCAAAAGAAAGGTTCAATATTTGCGACTACCGATAACTGATCAAACTTCATACTCAAATACTTTCCTTATTTCGAAACCGTGTGGACTATAATTTTGCAAAGTTCTGAAGGGTCCTATTAAGTTTGAACTTAAATGGTGTCGACCACATTATTTACACGGAGCACATTATTTACATAGCATTAATAGAGTAGAAGTTAGTAAATAGAACAGTCACAGTGACAGTACGTTAAATAGTAAACTAGACTTCAGAGAATTCCGAAGTTTAGAAACCTAAAGTTAGAAGTTTAAAACTTAGTTCAGACTCAAAAATTAACGAACTGTCAACTCGTTTTAGGAACATAAATCCAGTTGAGAACAGAGGGGTTTCCATCATTTCCCTCGGCGAGGGTTGGCACAACTATCACCACGTGTTCCCGTGGGATTACAAAGCGGCAGAGTTGGGCAACTACAGATACAGTCCTACAAGATACAGTGTTACTACAGCCTTCATCGACCTATGTGCGAAGCTCGGCCTCGCGTACGACTTGAAGATTGTTCCCGACGACGTGGTGAGAAAACGAGTGGAGAGAACCGGTGACGGTAGCCACGAAGTGTGGGGCTGGGGTGACAAGGACCAATCACAGGACGACAGGGATCAGACGGTGATAATACATGGTCTGAAGAAAGAACAATAAAAAACGATTCTGTTGAATCTTGGTGAGGGGGAGTCGATCGTTGGTTTCATCAATTTGCAAACGATCACGTCTTTTTGTACGGTTCTTACGAGAGGGGCGGGATGACAGTTATCTGAGAATTAGTCGAAAATTAGTTGGAATGTCATTTAATTATACGACCACGCGGCTTGTACGAGGATCGCGATCAATGTTGTCTTCTACTAATATTAACATTGCATAATCTTCAATCGATGTACAAGAGTACCGTTGTTGTCTTTTGTTCTTCCAGTTTTTCTAAAACGAATCTCAGATATCGTTGTTACATGGACATCAATGTTTTCGTATAGTTTTTGTTTTCGTATAATGGTATATCGATGCAGGATCTTTGTACATGCCGGCGGAACAACATCTGATCATTTGGCAGGTTCTAAATGTATTATATTTGATCCCTGTGTAAACGAGTGTAACAATCGCACGATCAGTCATCGTTTCGCAAAAGGAGAGCTTTTATGGCACCTGAGAGTTTGTGATTCAAGCTTTTAAAGACGAGAAGCGCACTTTTCTGCACTCGAAGAATTATGAACTTGGAAGTTTATGATACATCTGTACTTGAGTTTGTCATTTGAAAAGTTGTTAAACTCTAATTCTGTGAATTTGCAATTTTGAGAATTTCAGACCTCAAAAATTTCAAAAATATTTACTTAAATGTCTCTAAATTCGAGAACCGGTAATTTCAGAAATTTGAAAAGTCCAGCAAAGTCTCCACTCGTTTCATCTCCTCCACCCTCCAAAAACGACCAACGGTCTTTCCACCTTCGAAAATGGTTTCTTTCTCCGCTTGTTGCACGCGAAACGCGTCGATCGTATGATCGTTGCACAATTTCGTCGAAGGACGAGGTTACAACCGGAAACGCGGGGCGTTTCCGATATTTCAAAGGGCGCGATGCCTTCGGGTTTAAAGTAGACCTGAGTTACGAACGTGGCGACGTATTTTCACGAACTCGTTTCGCACGTCCTTTCTCGATGGATGTATAGATAACAGATGTATAAATTATTCTATGTGTAATACCGTATACAAAAATACGCACACGTGTACAAGCATGTATACACGTTTTTCTATGAAGCGTAACTGGTACACGAAGAAAATTGTCGCGATTAGCTGTATGGAAAGAGAGAAGTGTGCTGTTACCAGATTTTCAAAGACAAATATATGATGTTTTGTTACCAAAAATCGTCGAGGATCATTTATTTCCAGATACGTCCGTTTTATCGATCAGAATGCGGCCCAGTGTATTTTATTTGGAGCACTTGATGGATCAATAAAGATTTCGAAGGTACTGTTTTCGGAATCACGCGAGTTTCCTTTTGTATTCCCGTCTTGTGAATTAATTATTTTCAATCATGGTTCAACTTTATTTGTACAATTTACTATATTTCATAAAGGTTACGAAAGTAGAAAGAAAGTAGAAAGATAGAAAGTAGTTAAATATTCTTTTTGGTGGACACATAACCTCAAACTTGGAAGTGTTTCATCTATGGAAGATGTCAGCAAAATTGACGATTGATGTACGAGATATATGTGAACCTATGTGACGCTTAGTTAATCATACAACAAATATGATCCTATGTTTACAGAAGTTTAAAAATTGAATTCTACACATTGTGTATAAACAAATATTACAAATATATTAATTAATATTACAAACAAATATTGTGTATAAAATAACAAAGTACCAGAAGTACTAAAATTTTTAATTGGAAATCTCACAAATATGCAAACTTGTATCCACCCTCGTTATATCGCTACCAAATGTGTGTAAATCTTCAATATGTCAAAATAGTTGGTAACGAATCAGATCAGTTGAGAAGCTTTATTTGTTCAATATTGTAACGATCTCCATAAGTTTCAATATGAAATTGCTTTACATTAATGTCCAAACGAAAATGACAATATAAGAGAAGTGTCGAAATTGTAAATTGTCGAGGATTCATTTTATTTGGTATGAATACCATCATGGTCAATGACAACGGTGCCATGGCTCTTTGGCATGTTAAGGAAGAGCGTGTACAATAAACGTAGAGTGTGCAAAATGGACATTAACTTGTTCCCTTGGATGTTCCAAACCAGCAAGGCGCTGTTCACTAGCCAGGAAACGTTCACGGTGATGGCGAACCGTAACAGTCCGGTGACCACTATGGTGATTGCCATCGATTCGTCCCAGTATGCCAGTGGCACGATTCGTCCCAGTATGTCAGTGGCACGTTCAGTGGCAGTATTAATCCGAATATTATGAACATTGGCCAGTAGATCCTAGACATATCAATAGAAAAGGAGTGTATTACCAAAAGTGTCCGTTCGTGGATATAAAAATGAAAAATTGATAAAATAATGTTATATAGAAATTTTGGAAAATTGACACAATTAGTAACATGTGTGTGTTATACCGACATGTGTATTCCTATATTCTTATATCCTCGTACATAGTATTATATCGAATATAATCTCTAGTTAAAGTAAACGTTTACGAATCGATGTTTACATCCTCTGCAACCAAATATATCCATCCAGATCCATATCTCGCATATCAATGTCGATCTTCGCTTGTTCATAATCACTGATCGGTGAAAGAACGTTGGCTATGTAATGGCTGTACAGGAACCCCTTCTTGTGGTTGTAAGGATCCTTGTCAGTGCCGTAATACTTGTGATGGAGTCTGTGGTACAACACCCAGTCGTATATGGAACCCTGCGAATCGACATCAAGTTTTATCGATTGATCATTTTTTTATGGGTAGAAGGAACCGAGCATATCTACCACTCCGGCAAGTTTGTGCGCTAACGTGAGGAACATCGAAGGGTTCCTGATGCTGCAAATGTCCTGTGGGCCCATAACCTGTGGGCGCCCATGGTTACTCCTAGGCTACCGACTGCTGTTATGAGAATCGCTGAAACATGAAGTAATTATTAATTGTAGAATTTGGGATTTGGGAGATTTGGGAGATTTGGAATTTGAGAGTTGGCATTTGGAAAATTTGGAATTTGGTGAATTTCAAATTTATCAAGTTCGAAAATCTTGTAATTTAAAAATTGAAAAACTACGGAAATTAACCAAATCAGTAAATTTAGGAATTCTTTAAACCTTGATGAATTTATGATTTTGAAATTATATTTGTTTCATATATAAAAATAAAGAAACTTATTCTACAAGCTATAACAAGGTCAACCTTCAAGGCCACCGTACATTACACAAAACATAAATGTATTAAAATTTTGCCTGGATCCATGAACCACCAAACATTCGAATAAACCTATTTACATAAAAATTTCCGAAACATAAAGTTACCGTTCACACTACATTACTATACCCAGCAACACGAAATGAAATTGATGGACCGAAAGTAAAAAACTGCGCCATCAAGCGAGACGAAATGTTGGTAAAAAAGAGCAAACATGCTTACTAAAGAACACAGTCATCCATTTGGCGGAAGTGAGCATTAACCATACGCCATAGACTCCAAGAATGTGTAGGTGAATGTACCACAAGACGGCTGCCCACTTCACTGGTTTCTTCTCGGCCGACATTTTCGTTTCACCACAAACGAAACTTCACTCGGATGTTCCTCTATCGGTTAAGAAAACACCAATCATCAGTTCTTACATTCAAGATTTATAAAACTATCAAGATGATATAAAACTACGAAATGACAGCTCCTCAAGTTTCTTTAATTAATTATAAGATATAATTTCAAATTAAGTACACATATGCTGGTATGTTTAGTGTTAAGTTACCTTACGAGTTTCAAACAATATCATTGATCAAATCATTCCACCAATACATTCATGGTTCGAAATTTTTTTAAAAGAACTTTATAACTGATTTGTTATATTATAATTGTTTGATTTGTTTGTTGTATTATAACTGTTTGATTTCTTTGTTATATTATAACAGTTTGATATATTATTTATTAAAGTACACATTTATAAATATTTATAAAGTATTTGTTGAAGAATATGCATGCGCCATTTTTGAAAACGGACCATGAAGAATATCGATAAATCAGAGATCAATGAACGTCCGAATTTGTTGCAATCCAAACAGATTGCAGCATCCAACAGAGGGTTGTTGGAGATTGAAATATTGAAATGTGGTTTGTGAACTGTGAATGAGTGTAAGTGAACTGTTCTGGTAAATTTACCTAACTGTTACCTTGGCACGAAACACGTTTCTAGAGGAGCCGAAGAAAACTACTTAAACGAATGTTAGCTGCGGACCTCGCCGATCAACCTTGTGGCCTCTGTTCGCATTTCATTAGTTTTCAACATTTCACACTGTCATTTCCTTTGTTTTGGTGACAGAATCACGTTCATTGATTCCATTACGGGAAATGTCGATGGAGTTCTCACGCGATTTCGGTCATTCTGTATGTAGCTTGGAGCGAGGATAGTTTTCTTGAAATTTGGAAGTTGAGAAATTGAGAAATTGGGGAATTTAGGTATTTGATTTGGTAGAAATTTGGGTTTGTAAAAATTTGCCAACTTAGAAATATATGTTTGTAAAAATATGGCACTACAAAAACTTAATAACATAACTTATCGAACCTACAAATATTAATAATTAATTTAAAGAATTCACAAGAAAAAAAATGAACAAAAAACTATTCCTACTTTCACATAGTTGATATCGATAGTTAAACTCTCTATTGGAAAAGCATGAAATATTCATTCGGAATATAAAAAGACAATTGATGCGTCATGCCATTATAACGTGCCATCACACGTTACTATTACCTAATGAATTTCAAATAATTTGAACTAGAATTCGAAATAAAAGCATTGGAATTACATTCTAGTGCCCCTAATACATTTTCAATAAACTGAGAAATTATTCACGTTTCTTTTGAAAACTAGTGGAAGTTCTTCCGTAATTATTTCAATTAAAGAATTTACTAAACATACTTTAAAATTAAGTATGTTGATACTTCAGAATTTGTTATTGTTATTTCCTGTTTATTTTAAAATACAGAAAATTGGATTATGGTAGTTTAGAAGTGTTTCTAGTCTTATGGATTTATATTATTTTTTAAAATTGCCGCTCTTAAGCTGAGTGGCGCCATTTTAACGTGAACTATTTGACGATCGTATTCCCATAACTCAATTAATAAATTATCGATTCATTTTTTATGGATTCGATTGCATTTGTTGTTTAAGTATACATTAAATTAAATATGAAAATCTTGAATAGAAGTTATTTATAAAATAATACATTTGGACTTTGAATTTTACCGACATAATCTTAACTAGTTTCTGAGTTCGCTTCTAGATAGCAGCCATAACTATTTTATGGTGGGCTTTTCAAAAAGAGCATTTCTCGTCAAAATCACATCACGGAGTTTTATTATATTGTTACACAAAATAAATATTTTCAAAATGCAGCTACTTTCAAAGCTTTGTGACGCTTGTTTAAATCAAATTTTCTATAATTTCGATAACCGTAAATAATCACTCGTAAAGTTAAAATAAATAAACCAGTATTTAACAGAACATTTCTTAAATGTAAAAAGGAAAATCAAGCTTTGTCTAAATAAAATTTTCTACAATTTTAATAACCATGATAATCACTCGCAAAGTTAAAATAAATAAACCCGTATGTAACAGAAACTCCTTTAATAAAAAAGATATACCATTTAACATCTGTTGAGGTACCCTTCTTACAATCTGCATAAACTTCTCTGGCAGTGGACACAAGTATTCTGCTTAAATAATACCAAAGAATATTGTTCGTTCCTAATTCTTATGTACATCTACATAAAAATATAAACTATTTTGTTCATTGTCGCTCCTCAAAAGTTCGATATTCAATCTCGAAGGAAGTCAGCGTCTTTCAATAAAAAGTTCACTGAGCTAATTGTCTTCGAAGCATGATACCGATCGAAGAAACTTGTTTTTCAAACAAAACAAATTCCTCGAATTATTCTTTAAATTGCAAGCTAAAATTGCTAAACTTCCTAAACTTCCAAATCCCAAAATCTTCAAATTCTACCATCTCCGAATTATCGTTCAAAAATTCAATTAATTACTCAGAAACGTAATTATCTAACGTCGCGGAATTTAATGAGCTCCAATAAATGAATATTAATTATGTGCTACGCTGTCAACGAGTTGCGAATTATTATTGCTTTCTGGATAATTTGGTTCATTGCAAAGTCCACTGTCACCTATGCGTCATTCACTTACGGTCAAAGTTGCCGGTCGTATTTGAATCGTTATTTCTTAGGAATATTTTTATAGATATGAAAATGGGGTTGATAGAATATTCGTGTACGAAATTCTTGAAAAGAATGATACGTTGTATCTTCATAAAGTTTTATCGAGTTCGGAAAGTACCCCTTCTAGAAAAATCGCGGACAATTCTACATATTGTTGCATGCATATTGCATAAATTACGTTAGTCGTAGACGATATAAAAGGAGCTCATCCACCTGTTCTACGACATTCTTTCTATATCTCATCCGACGAAACGATCGTCATACTTGAATCAAACTTTTGTTCGATTTGGCGCTTCGGACAGTTACTTCGTAACATTCTTTGCGGAGAAATTGTAAGGTAGGCAATATAGGACCAGTTACGATATTCTTTATACCAATTACAGGAACTGAATCTTGTAATAATTTGTTTTGTGTCATGGGGTAAATTATCAACCTGCTTCGTACGTAATTCTAAAGAATTTTATTTCCGTAGTTTGAACTTTGTTACAAGGTTACTTTATATCAATAGTTAATGATTAATATTATACTATTAATTGTGCAGTGATAATTTGGGTTAGCGTACCGTCTACAAGAAGTATAATATTCGTAGGGTATAGTATTTCTTTCTTTGCTTATCTTAAAGCTTTTTGCACACATACTCATACTTACACCCTTTCAACCACCATTCCACCACAATGGCAAATGGTCGTATTTTTCAAATCTTTCGCGTTCATCCTTTTCTCCTGTCATTTCAACTTAAGCGGCGAGATACGACGCATTATATTTGTTATACAAGATGTTCCGTAACTTTTTATTAATCTTGCGGGCGGTAGAAGAGGGTGGAATTCGTAACTGAAAGTACTTTCTGCAAGTTTAGCTCGGAACTGATTATGTATGGAGTTACTAATAATTAAGGTTTTAGATTTTCAGTTTAAGAAATTTCGCGTGACAATATAACAAAGTGCAAAATTATAGTGTAGGAATGGAACAAGTGTTAATGTAATGTACGGAAGAACATGTGGTGATTTAACGCGTAGCAATATAGCGAGACTTGATACCGCATGGCGGTATAACTTGAGGAAATGAGATAAATATAATGGAAATATAACACATGGAAATTGAAATAACAGTATTATTATGCATGGCTTCTGAAGAAATGGCGATATAACGCATGCAAATGGAATTCGCAATATATCGCGAGGAAATGAAATTGGTGGCAACATAACGCGTGGAACTAAAATTAGTGGCAATATAATGCGAGGAAATAAAATTAGTGGCAACATAACGCGTGGAAATAAAACATTGTGGTAATACAATGTGCAGAAATATAATTAGTGGTAATATAACGCTTGGAAATAGAATTGGTAATATCACTCGGGGAAATGAAATTGGTGGCGATATAGCGTGTGTAAATAAAATATGTGACAATACAATGCGTGTAAATAGTATATAAAAAGATACAGAACTTTAAAGAAACCCTCGCATTTATGGTATATACCGCCGGCATGAGCATTACCCAATATGCACCGCGTAGAGGTTGCTGGACAGATTTTGAACATCATATGGCTCTGACAAGAGCCTCGCACGGCCGCGTACGTGTATCTCCCATTCTTAAACACGAAAAGATTCTCAAATTATGTGATTCTAGAATGCAAGTTGAGTTCAGAAATTTGATTTCATCAAAAGAATTAAATTTTACAAATTTAGTTTCAGAGAAAAAATTGTCTTAGTTATGTTTATATACTTAACGTAGTAGAATAACAGTTTTCACAACAATAACTTTTTTCATTTGTTTCAAGGTACTACAAATACCTCATGCCCTTAATGTGCTTCATCATGCCGACTGTCGTGCCTGTTGTGGGCTGGAACGAGACCTGGTCAAATGCTTACTATATAGCGGCAATATTCCGATACGTGTTTGGTTTGAACACGGCATGGTTGGTCAACTCCGCTGCTCATCTCTATGGATTTAAGCCATACGACAAGTTAGTATCAGAGCCCAAAAGAAAGGTTCAATATTTGCGACTACCGACCACTGATCAAACTTCATACTCAAATATCTTTTTTACTTCGAAACCGTGTGAGCTATAATTTTGCAGAGGTCTGGAGGTTCCTATTAAGTTTAAACCTAATTAGTGCCTCGAGCACATTATTTACATAGCATTAATAGAATAGAAGTTAGTAAATAGAACAGTCACAGTGACAGTACATTAAATAGTAAATTCGACATCAGAGAATTCCGAAGTTTAGAAACCTAAAGTTAGAAGTTCAAAACCTAGTTCAGATTCAAAAATTAACGAACTGTCAACTCATTTTAGGTTCATCAATCCTGTTGAGAACAGAGGGGTGGCCATCGTCACCTTCGGCGAGGGTTGGCACAACTATCACCACGTGTTCCCTTGGGATTACAAAACGGCAGAGTTGGGCAACTACAGATACAGTCCTACAACAGCCTTCATCGACCTATGTGCGAAGCTCGGCCTCGCGTACGACTTGAAGACTGTTCCCGACGACGTGGTGAGAAAACGAGTGGAGAGAACCGGTGACGGTTCCCACGAAGTGTGGGGCTGGGGTGACAAGGATCAATCACAGGACGACAAGGATCAGACGGTGATAATACATGGTCTGAAGAAAGAGCAATAAAAAACGATTCTATTGAATCTTGGTTTCATCGGTTTACAAACGATTGTTTATTTTCTGTCAAACTTCTTTTTGTTTTCGTATGATGGTATATCGATGCAGAATCTTTGTACATGCCGGCGGAATCGGTTTCTAAGCGGGAACACTGTTGTTATTCAGGGAACAACATTTGATCATTTGGCAGGTTCTAAACGTACTATATTTGATCCCTGTGTAAACGAGTGAAACAATCCCACGATCAGTCATCGTTTCGCAAAAGGAGAGCTTTTATGGCACTAATGAAAATTGATACTTCGTTTAGAAATGTCATCGTCTAACTTATTCGCCCGTTTCGTTCAACAAAAAACAAACGAGTAATTTCAGAAATTTTGAGAAGTCCGGCAAAGTCTCTACTCGTTTCATCTCCTCTACCCTCCTAAACCGACCAACGATCTTTCCACCTTCGAGAATGGTTTCTTTCTCCGCTTGTTGCACGCGAAACGCGTCGATCGTATGATCGTTGCACAATTTCGTCAAAGGACGAGGTTACAACCGGAAACGCGGGGCGTTTCCGATATTTCAAAGGGCGCGATGCCTTCGGGTTTAAAGTAGACCTGAGTTACGAACGTGGCGACGTATTTTCACGAACTCGTTTCGCACGTCCTTTCTCGATGGATGTATAGATAACAGATGTATAAATTATTCTATGTGTAATACCGTATACAAAAATACGCACACGTGTACAAGCATATATACTCGTTTTCCTATGAAGCGTAACTGGTAAGCGAAGAAAATTGTCACGATTAGCTCTATGGAAAGAGAGAAGTGTGCTGTTACCAGGTTTTCAAAGACAAATATATGATGTTTTGTTACCAAAAATCCTCGAAGATCATTTATTTCCAGATACGTCCGTTTTATCGACCAGAATGCGGCCCAGTGTATTTTATTTGGAGCACTTGATGGATCAATAAAGATTTCGAAGGTACTGTGTTCGGAATCACGCGAGTTTCCTTTTGTATTCCCTTCTACTGAATTAATTATTTTCAATCATGGCTCAATTTTATTTGTACAATTTACTATATTTCATAAAGGTCATGAAAGTAATTCAATTACAACTGGTTATCGATAATTTATTATGTAACAAGGGTTTATTCTTGCACTATCATAAAATAGTTTCCAGATTTATATTTTTCAGATGGTGCTTAAAATTAAGATGTAAAGATTTCAGTGGAAGACATATGGGCTTTCTACATAGTGCTGGAAGTAATACTCGATGCAGTCTGAATCATCAATAACCAAAAGCTCGGTAAAATTGAATCTCGATACTTCGACAAATGTTTTGTTCTTTTCTTCAATGACGAATCATCAGTTTTTCTTTCAGCGTGTTGTACTCGGACTTCTGCTTGAGCTGCGATAAACCTTCGCTGAGTGGCAGCTTTTTCTTCGCCATCTTGTGGAGAACCTGCAGAAGATGGAAGACAGGAAATAAATTTGGAAATAATATTTCATGAATTGTGTAAGTTAACTTATTTCTATGTTAATGTTATATATTTGATATATTGATATTTTCATATTGTTAACTGAGCTTATGTCAAACTATTGATATAATATTGATGTGTTGATATGAAACTATTGATGTGATATAATGTGGTATAGTATGTTGTTAGAATATTATAGAATTATGTTAGGATAGGTATATTTGTTTATATTATCATATATTTAGTTATTTGTCTGACTATATCATAATCTGTTTATTTCATTATATCATCAATTATTTATGTTTGTCAGATATTTAATTACGTCACTGTACTTCAAATTTCCATACATTGAAGACTCCTGCATGTGTGGCAATATAAAAAGAGTCCATTACAATCTTCTATCCATAGCCTTGTCCTCCAAGTTTTCTAAACTCTATCCAAACACAATACCACTTTTTATCAGTTCTTAAAGTAGAACTCTAAGAATGTTAAAATATGTTAATTCAGCGAATGTAATATGTTATTTACAGTGAAACAACTTTTCTCTAAATTCCAAGTAATAAATCAGACATAAATTTAGTTCCTCAGATAAAATAAATTCTGTTCAATAAACAATATTTTGTCTGACAATTTGTCATCAGACAATACAAATTATAAATAATTTTTAGAGTTATTAAAAAATATGTTAATAGCATATTTGCAAGAAAACAATTTTATCTTTCAAATTCCTGCAACTTCACACACAATAAATCAGACGTAAAATACAAAAACTATTCGAAAATACTTCGTCACGGTGAAATACGTACAAGTTTTTGGAACACTGAAGAATGAATGAATAACGAATATGCATTCGTATACGAACCTCCCTGACATCTTCCGTTTCCGTAGTTTGTAATTCGTTGATTAAACCGAGTTCGTGAAACATTTTGATGAAAAATGTGGTGCAACCAAAACCGTAATTTCCGAATTCACCACTCTTGCAGTCCCATGGCACCGCGTAATGGTACTCGGGCCAAAAAGATTTTGTCAGGAAGAACACGCTGATGCTATCCGGTGGAACCCTGAAATCGTTGCACATAAATTAGCTGCCCTTAATATAATTGATTCAAATTAACCTTCTGTTCCTATTCACTTTTCAAGTTTGCTTTATTTTGTAAATTTTCAGAAATAAATTCACTTCAAGTTTTAACGTTTCACAACTTGATTATGAGAAAATTCATTTTAGCATATATTTTTTTGTCAATGATTTGATGTCAACGAATAATGAACGAAAATCGATAAATAATGTATGACTGAAAACAATTGCTGTTTTTGTATATGTAATGGCGATAAATCTTGCGAATTTAGATGTTTAATATTCTTACGTTCTTGAAACAAAAGATTGCAAACTGTTCAAGCGAGATGAAATGTTGGTAAAAAAGAGCTAACCTGCTTACTAAAGAACACAGTCATCCATTTGGCGGAAGTGAGCGTTAACCATACGCCACAGACCCCAAGAATGTGTAAGTGAATCTACTACAAGACCGCTGCCCACTTCACTGGTTTCTTCTCGGCCGACATTTTCGTTTCACCACAAACGAAACTTTACTCGGATGTTCCTCTATCGGTTAAGAAAACACCAATCATCAATTCTTACATTCAAGATTTATAAAACTATCAAGATGATATAAAACTACGAAATGACTGCTCCACAAGTTTCTTTAATTAATTATAAGATACACGTTTTGTTAAAGTACATTCCTTGAAAGCATTGATTCTCAAGATAAAGAATGAATTTGTGTACTAATTTATGTTTCATATTGTAGTACTTTACTGTACTAATTTATGTTTTATATAATTTATGTCAATTGTTTATTAATTTTTTAACTTGATTTTTAATTTCAAATTAAGTACACATATGCTGGTAGGTTTAGTGTTAAGTTACCTTACGAGTTTCAAACAATATCATTGATCAAATCATTTCACCAAAACATTCATGGTTCGAAATTTTGTTAAAAGAACCTTGTAGCTAATTTGTTTTATTATAACTGTTTGATATATTATTTATTAAGGAAGTATTTGTTGAACAATCTACGTTAAAGAATATGCATGCGCCATTTTTGAACAGGAGACCATGAAGAATGTCGATAAATCAGAGATCAATGAACGTTCGAATTTGTTGCAATCCAAACAGAGGATTGTTGGAGATTGAAAGATTGTAATGTGGTTCGTGAATTGTTCTGGTAAATTTACATAGCTGTTACCCTGGCACGAAACACGCTTCTGGAGGAGCCGAAGAAAACTACTTAAACGAATGCTAGCCACAGACCTCGCCGATCAACCTCGTGGCCTCTGTTCGAATTTCATTAGTCTTCAACATTCCACACAGTCATTTCCTTTGTTTTGCTAAAAGAATCACGTTGGTTGATTCCGTTACGGGAAATATAGATGGACTTCTGACGCGATTTCGCCCATCTTGTATGTAGCTTGGAGCGAGGATAGTTATCTCCAAATTCGGAAGTTGTAAAATTGAAAAATTGGGGAATTTAGGTATTTGATTTGGTAGAAATTTATGTTTGTAAAAATTTGACACTGCAAAAAGTTAGTAACATAACTTATCGAACCTACTAATATTAAAAATAATTTTATAAAATTAAAAAAAAAAATGAACAAAAAACTATTCCTACTTGCACATAGTTCATATCTCATAATTGATATCGATAGTTAAACTCTCTATTGGAAAAGTATGAAATATTCATTCGGAATATAAAAAGACAATTGATGCGTCATGAACTACTCCAATCTCACGTTACTATTACGTAATGAATTTCAAATAACTTGGACTAGAATTCGAAATAAAAGCATTGGAATTACATTCTAGTGCCCTTAATACATTCTTAATAAACTGGGAAATTATTCACGTTTCTTTTGAAAACTAGTGGAAGTTCTTTCGTAATTATTTCAATTAAAGAATTTACTAAACATACTTTAAAATTAAGTATGTTGATACTTCAGAATTTGTTATTGATATTTCCTATTTATTTTGAAATATAGAAAATTGCATTATGATAGTTTAGATGTGTCTCTAGTCTTATAGATTTACATTATTTTTGAAAATTGCCGCTCTTAAGCTGAGTGGCGCCCTTTTAATGTGAACTATTTGTCGATCGTATTCCCATAACTCAATTAATAAATTATCGATTCATTTTTTATGGGTTTGATTACATTTATTGTTCAACTATACATTAAATTAAATATGAAAATCTTGAATAGAAGTTATTTATCAAATAACACAATTGGACTTTGAATTTTACCGACATAACCTTAACTAGTTTCTGAGTTCGCTTCTAGATAGCAGCCATAACTATTTTATTGTGGGCTTTTCAAAAGGAGCACTTCACTTCAAAATCACATTACGTAGTTTCATCAAATTATTGCACAAAATAAATATTTTCAAAATTCAGCTACTTTCAAAGCTTTGTGACGCTTGTTTAAATCAAATTTTCTACAATTTCAGTAACCGTAAATAATTATTCGTAAAGTTACAATAAATAAATCAGTATTTAACAGAACATTTCTTAAATATAAAAAGGAAAATCAAGCTTTGTCTAATTAAAATTTTCTACAATTTTAATAACCATGATAATCACTCGCAAAGTTAAAATAAATAAACCCGTATGTAACAGAAAATCCTTTAATGAAAATGATATACCATTTAATAAATAACACCTGTTGAGGTACCCTTCTTACAATCTGCATAAACTTCTCTGGCAGTGGACACAAGTATTCTGCTTAAATAATACCAAAGAATATTCTTCGTTCATAATTCTTATGTACATCTACATAAAAATATAGATTATTTTGTTCATTGTCACTCCTCAAAGGTTCGACATTCAATCTCGAAGAAAATCAGCGTCTTTCAATAAAAAGTTCACTTGACTAATTCTCTTCGAAGCATGATACCACACGAAGAACTTTGTTTTTCAAACAAAACAAATTCCTCGAATTATTCTTTAAATTGCAAGTTAGAATTGCAAGTACAAGAAAGTTGTACTATTGTACGTTCACAGTCATCGCTTCTTGTTCATCATTTCTATTTCCTGAAGATCTTCAGGAGAGATATCGGCGTCGCCATATTCCCAAACATGGCTGCCATCGCCGGACCTGTTCGCTCTTCGTCGAACCATCGCTGGCGACACGTATTAGGGCTACCGAAAAGTAATCAAAATTTCGTTTGCTTTCGAAAAACATTAATTTATTAAAGAAATATTAAATGCTAATCAACAAAATAATTTCCAATATTTTCTAACGCTTTTTGTTAGCGTAAAGGCAATTTGTTTGATTCCCTTTTTAAAAGAGTCCTTCAATTTTACATAGAAAAACTTTGAAGTCATCGAAGAAATTTTGATTACTTTTCGGTACCTCTAATATTTGCGATCGGTTAGGTTAGGACTAACCGATCCACGCGAAGAAGTCGATGTACGCTGTGGTGATGTTGAATGAGTAGTTCCGTAGCCCTCCCGTTTTGTAATTCCACGGGAACACGTGGTGGAAGTTGTGCCAAACTTCGCCGAGGGCTGCGATTGAGACTGCGACGTACTCCACCGGAGAGATGTATCTGCAATTTATTGAAGCTGTTAGCTATAAAATAATTTGGTACATTTTGGATAAAGTTACAGTCTTAATAGTATTCTCCAGATTTGAGAATTTGGAGATTAAACTCTGGGATTTGGAAATTGGGGATGTGGAAAATTTAGGGACTTAAAAGTTTGAATATTGATGACGTGAGAAATTTAGAGATTTAGAAACTTGACACTTGGGGATTTAAGTGGACCCATAATTTACTATATTTGCGAAGTCCCAAATTTTCCAATTTGTAAATCCCTAGATTTCCAAATTCGAAAGTCCCCAAAATTCCTAAACATACAAATCCCCAAATCTCCAAATTCTAACATCTCCGAATTATCATTCAAAAATTCAAATAAAATCCACCTTATCTTCATACACGGAATTTGGATATTACTTAAAATATCTTGTCCTCAATTAGTTACTCAGAAACGTAATCATGTAACATCACGGAATTCAATGAGCTCCAATAAATGAATATTAAATACGTGTTGCGCTGTTAACAAGTCGCCATTTGTTATTGCTTTCTGGATAAATTGGTTCATCGCAAAGTCCACTGTCACCTATGCGTCATTCACTTACGGTCAAAGTTGCCGGTCGTATTTGAATCGTTATTTCTTAGGAATATTTTTATAGATATGAAAATGGGGTTGATAGAATATTCGTGTACGAAATTCTTGAAAAGAATGATACGTTGTATCTTCATAAAGTTTTATCGAGTTCGGAAAGTACCCCTTCTAGAAAAATCGCGGACAATTCTACATATTGTTGCATGCATATTGCATAAATTACGTTAGTCGTAGACGATATAAAAGGAGCTCATCCACCTGTTCTACGACATTCTTTCTATATCTCATCCGACGAAACGATCGTCATACTTGAATCAAACTTTTGTTCGATTTGGCGCTTCGGACAGTTACTTCGTAACATTCTTTGCGGAGAAATTGTAAGGTAGGCAATATAGGACCAGTTACGATATTCTTTATACCAATTACAGGAACTGAATCTTGTAATAATTTGTTTTGTGTCATGGGGTAAATTATCAACCTGCTTCGTACGTAATTCTAAAGAATTTTATTTCCGTAGTTTGAACTTTGTTACAAGGTTACTTTATATCAATAGTTAATGATTAATATTATACTATTAATTGTGCAGTGATAATTTGGGTTAGCGTACCGTCTACAAGAAGTATAATATTCGTAGAGTATAGTGTTTCTTTCTTTGCTTGTCTCAATGCTTTTTCGGTACGCAATATCCACCTGCGTAAATGCTCACCCTCGCACACGTACACAAACTTACACCCTTTCAACCACCATTTCACCACAATGGCAACCGGTCGTATTTTTCAAATCTTTCGCGTTCATCCTTTTCTCCTGTCATTTCAACTTAAGCGGCGAGATACGACGCATTATATTTGTTATACAAGATGTTCCGTAACTTTTAATTAATCTTGCGGGCGGTAAAAGAAGGTGGAATTCGTAACTGAAAGTACTTTCTGCAAGTTTAGCTCGGAACTGATTATGTATGGAGTTATTAATCATTAAAGTTTGATAATCCAACTTTTAGATTTTCAGTTTAAGAAATTTCGCGTGACAATATAACAAAGTGCAAAATTATAGTGTAGAAATGGAACAAGTGTTAATGTAATGTACGGAAGAACATGTGGTGATTTAACGCGTAGCAATATATGGAAATATAACACATGGAAATTAAAATAACAGTATTATTACGCATGGCTTCTGAAGAAATGGCGATATAACGCATGCAAATGGAATTGGCAATATATCGCGAGGAAATGAAATTGGTGGCGACATAACGCGTGGAACTAAAATTAGTGGCAATATAATGCGAGGAAATAAAATTAGTGGCAACAGAACGCGTGGAAATAAAAGTTGTGGCAATACAATGTGTAGCAATAGAATTAGTGGTAATATAACGCTTCTAAATGGAATTGGCAATATCACTCGGGGAAATGAAATTGGTGGCGTTATAGCGCGTGTAAATAAAATATGTGACAATATAATGCGTGTAAATAGTATATACAAAGATACAGAACTTTAAAGAAACCCTCGCATTTATGGTATATACCGCCGGCATGAGCATTACCCAATATGCACCGCGTAGAGGTTGCTGGACAGATTTTGAACATCATATGGCTCTGACAAGAGCCTCGCATGGCCGCGCACGTGTACCTTCTTTTCGATTTTCAAGTTCATCCACACCATATCATTAAATTGTCTCACTGAATAAATATTAACTGTATAACCATTCTGTCATTTACAAACAGATTACCGTGTTTGATATTGAACTTTCGTGTTTCTGAAATGTTAATTTTTAGTCATTCAAATTCTTGAGTGTCAGAAGTTTGGGAATGTTTGCAATATTTTCTGATTTAGAAATTGACATATTATTAGATTTCTAAGTGTGCAAGTTTTTTTATTCAAATATTTTCAATGACATATTTTCGAGATTGAGTAATATAGAAATTCAGGACGTTGAAAATATATGATTTTTAATGGAAGGTTTGCATGATTTGCTTGCAAGAATAAAGCGGGTATGGCGCCAAACAGCACCAGCTCTCCAACGGGAGTTCTGTTCGAGGGTGAGACGTTAGAGAACACCCCGGTGGTGGTAGAACCAGACAAACAAAAATATGTAAGACGTATTGTCTGGAGAAATGTGATAATCTTCATTTACCTTCATCTGGCAGCTGTTTATGGACTATACCTAGTGTTTACGTCCGCCAAATTTGCAACGACCTTGTTTAGTGAGTTAATACACATTTTTCTATTTAACATTAACTCTTTGATTGCTTGATTTGACACGATTAAGGTTTTCGTCATCAATCATTTCTGGTCATTATATCCGACGAATAATCATATGACAATTATGGTCACTTGTCATTAACTATAACTCTTCCCTAGTTATTATAGCGTGCAATGATTGAACGCTTGCTGTGTATTAAATCTGATAGTCACTCATCAGTTCGCTGAACAATGAAATGTTGTTCCGTTTAAAAAGCTTTGTACACAAAATTTCAGAAAAATCTTGACAAAGTTAACGAAAGAACGTTTTAGCAAAGATAATATTTATCTTCGTAAATTAAATATTAGTTCAGAGATTCGTAGAGTGTATAATATATGACGTGTACTATTAATTACTAAATAATATTATTAATCTTAGCATATGAAACTGATAGCTATAATATTATAGTTAAATAATATTACCAACTGATATTAGACTACAGTCCGTACCAGAATCTACATAAATGATTTATGGAAGAAATTATAGTCATTTCCGTATTACATTCAATTTATAAACGACGAAAATTCTCCGGGAAAATTCTCCGGCCAAGGACGAAAATTCTCCGGCCAAGGATTGTATAGATTTAATTTGAAGTTTTGATCATTCAATTAATCCCTTTATTCGTAGTTTTACCCCAATTGAGTATCAAGTGACAGTAATTGAAAATATGAATATAAATAACGAACTCCATCCAGTGCAATCAAACGCAAGAAAAAAAGATGTCCTTGTTACATAGTTCAGAGAAACTGATGTACAATAAGGGTAACGAATTGCTCAACCAGTTGTGGCAGACCTCTGTATTCTCCATTTCTATCTTGTATCGTTGCCAAAAATTTAGAATAAATTTACTTTTTCGTAAATACTTCGTGTTCCTTGTGAATAGGGTTGTAGTGAAAAGACTATAATATCGTTATAATAGAACGTTTTAATTTTACAACTCGAGAGTAATTATTGTTATTGTTATGATAATAAGGTACAATTCATAAATAATCGTCCTTTTATATTCTTTCGATAGCACTCGCGCTCTACGTTGTAAATGCCTTCGGAATCACAGCTGGTGCTCACAGATTATGGGCCCACAAATCGTACAAGGCAAAATGGCCGCTTCAGTTGTTCCTCATGATCAACAACACCATGGCTTTCCAGGTAAGCTTCGACAATAGTTATGGTATTTTCATATAGACAGTCTAGTCAATTAAATAGTTTAAACGATCAAATTTAAGCAATCTTCTCTAACCTTTGTTTTCTTCTCGTTACAGGATGCAGCGATCGACTGGGCAAGAGATCACAGGCTCCATCACAAATACAGCGAGACGAACGCAGATCCCCATAACGCGAAGAGAGGTTTCTTCTTTGCGCATGTGGGCTGGCTACTCTGCAGAAAACACCCTGACATCTCAGAAAAGGGCAAAGGAATCGACCTCAGTGACCTGAAGAATAATCGCATTCTTGCGTTCCAAAAGAAGTTTGTGTCTCTTGCTAGCTAGTTTCTTAATCACGAAAAGATTATCAAATTATGTGATGCTAGAATGCAAGTTAAGTTTAGAAATTTGATTTCATCAAAAGAATTAAATTTTACAAATTTAGTTTCAGAGAAAAAATTGTCTTAGTTATGTTTGTATACTTAATGTAATAGAATAACAGTTTTCGCAATAATAACTTTTTTTCAAGGTACTACAAATACCTCATGCCTTTACTGTGCTTCGTTGTGCCGACTGTCATACCTGTTGTGGGCTGGAACGAGACCTGGTCAAATGCTTACTTTATACCGGCAGTATTGCGATTCGTGGTTGGTTGGAACACGGCGTGGTTGGTCAACTCCGCTGCTCATCTCTATGGATTCAAACCATACGACAAGTTAGTATCAGAACCCAAAAGAAAGGTTCAATATTTACAACTACTATATTTACAACTATCTTCCTTGCTTCGAAACCGTGTGGGTTATAATTTTGCAAAGTTCTGGAAGATCCTATTAAGTTTAAACCTAATTAGTGCCTCGAGCACTTTATTTATACGGCATTAATATAGTAAAAGTTAGTAAATAGAACAGTCACTGTTTGAGTGCATTAAATAGTAAATTAGACATCAGAGAATTCCGAAGTTTAGAGACCTGACGTTAGAAGTTTAAAATCTAGTTCAGTTTTAAAAATTAACGAATTGTCAACTCGTTTTAGGTACATAAATCCAGCTGAGAACAAAGGGGTGTCCATCGTCACCCTCGGCGAGGGTTGGCACAACTATCACCACGTGTTTCCGTGGGATTACAAAGCGGCAGAGTTTGGCAACTACAGATACAGTCCTACAACAGCTTTCATCGATCTATGTGCGAAGCTCGGCCTTGCGTACGACTTGAAGTTTGTTCCCGACGACGTGGTGAGAAAACGAGTGGAGAGAACCGGTGACGGAAGCCACGAAGTGTGGGGCTGGGGTGACAAGGACCAATCACAGGATGACAGGGATCAGACGATGATAATACATGGTCTGAAAAAAGAGCAATAAAAAACGATTGTATTGAATCTTGGTTTCATCGGTTCACAAACGATTGTTTATTTTCTGTCAAACTTCTTTTTGTTTTCGTATGATGGTATATCGATGCAGGATCTTTGTACATGCCGGCGGAATCGGTTTCTAAACGGAAACACTGTTGTTATTCAGGGAAAAACATTTGATCATTTGGCAGATTCTAAATGTATTATATTTGATCCCTGTGTAAACGAGTGAAACAATCCCACGATCAGTCATCGTTTCGCATTTCCTCGACGACGTTCATAGACTGCAGCGATGGACTAGCGTTCGTTGATCGCGTTCAAACCGGATTGGCTTCCCGATTTTAATCGACGGTTGTTCGACCTGATTAGACTGTTTCGTACGTAATTTAAGGTTTAGTTTATTCTTGAATAAGTAGTAGTGAGCACTGTTGGAATTTAGATTCTATTTTACGTTCTCCGTAGATACTCGCGTATTCCTAATGTTTGAACAGTGTAGGGTGGCAAATTGCGAAACACGCATTCTGTGAAGGCTAGTCGAACGTTAATTTAACGATGACGGATCGAACGAGATGGAAATCGATGTTCGGTTGAAATGAAAAATTAGTAAACGAACGATTTGAGTATGGGATGTACGTATACATATGTGTATATTAAGCTTAATATAGTGAGGATTCGTTCGATCCCCGAATATGTCGATATGCCACACGTCGATATGAAATCGTTGAAGATCGATCCGTGTAACTACGTCGGATTTCTTCACCCGTTTCTTGTATCTTGTGTTTCTTCTTTCTTGTCTGAGGACTTCCTTCACGACCCGGAAATGCTACTATACTCTAGATTAAAACAGAAAAGTAAAAAACATTGCAGTATATCTTTCATCCCTCTTCACATCCGGTCATTTAGACAGTTACGAGGTAAATATTGTTTTATATATTTCTCTTTTTGTTCCTACAATGTCGTCAGACAATAGTTAGTTGAATGTTGTTCCCTTTCCCTGTCCTTATATTTTTCTGTTCTCATTCATTCTCGATCCATTCATCGACTTTTTCTATTCATGATTGTATCGAATTTAATCTTGGAAAGCATAAAATACAGTGGCGATTCCTCTTTTTTTTGGTTAAGTACGGCGATTCCTCTTTTTTTCGATTAGGTAATCTGTATCAGTGAATCAATCTGAACGATGACTGGTCTACAAGAAATATTTAGTAGTTAAGCGTGCAAAAGGAGAGCTTTTACGCGGAGCGTTTCCGGTTTTTCAAAGGGCGCGATGCCTTCGGGTTTAAAGAAGACCTGAGTTACGAAATTATTCTATGTGTAATACCGTATACAAAAAATACGCACACGTGTACACGCATGTTTATCCGTTTTTCTATGAAGCGTAACTGGTACACGAAGAAAATTGTCGCGATTAGCTCTATGGAAAGAGAGAAGTGTGCTGTTACCATGTTTTCAAAGACAAATATATGATGTTTTGTTACCAAAAATCGTCGAGGATCATTTATTTCCAGATACGTCCGTTTTATCGATCAGAATGTGGCCCACTGTATTTTAATTGGAACACTTGATGGATCAATAAAGATTTCGAAGGTACTGTGTTCGGAATCACGCGAGTTTCCTTTTGTATTCCCTTCTACTGAATTAATTATTTTCAATCATGGCTCAATTTTATTTGTACAATTTACTATATTTCATAAAGGTCATGAAAGTAATTCAATTACAACTGGTTATCGATAATTTATTATGTAACAAGGGTTTATTCTTGCACTATCATAAAATAGTTTCCAGATTTATATTTTTCAGATGGTGCTTAAAATTAAGATGTAAAGATTTCAGTGGAAGACATATGGACTTTCTACATAGTGCTGGAAGTAATACTCGATGCAGTCTGAATCATCAATAACCAAAAGCTCGGTAAAATTGAATCTCGATACTTCGACAAATGTTTTGTTCTTTTCTTCAATGACGAATCATCAGTTTTTCTTTCAGCGTGTTGTACTCGGACTTCTGCTTGAGCTGCGATAAACCTTCGCTGAGTGGCAGCTTTTTCTTCGCCATCTTGTGGAGAACCTGCAGAAGATGGAAGACAGAAAATAAATTTGGAAATAATATTTCATGAATTGTGTAAGTTAACTTATTTCTATGTTAATGTTATATATTTGATATATTGATATTTTCATATTGTTAACTGAGCTTATGTCAAACTATTGATATAATATTGATGTGTTGATTTTATCTTTCATCTTTCAAATTTAATCTTTCAAATTTCTGCAACTTCACACAAAATAAATCAGACGTAAAATACAAAAACTATTCGAAAATACTTCGTCGCGGTGAAATACGTTCAAGTTTTTTGAACTGTGAAGAATGAATGAATAACGAATATACATAAGTATACGAACCTCCCTGACATCTTCCGTTTCCGTAGTTTGTAATTCGTTGATTAAACCGAGTTCGTGAAACATTTTGATGAAGAACGTAGTGCAACCAGAACCGTAGGTTCCGAATTCACCACTCTTCCAGTCCCATGGCACCGCGTAATGGTACTCGGGCCAAAAAGATTGTGTCAGGAAGAACACGCTGATGCTATCCGGTGGAACCCTGAAATCGTTGCACATAAATTAGCTGCCCTTAATATAATCGATTCAAATTAACCTTCTGTTCGTGTTCACTTTTCAAGTTTGCTTTATTTTGTAAATTTTCAGAAATAAATTCACTTCAAGGTTTAACGTTTCATAACTTGATTATGAAAAAATTCATTTTAGCATATATTCCTTTGTCAATGATCTGATGTCAACGAATAATGAACGAAAATCGATAAATAATGTATGACTGAAAACAATTGCTGTTTTTGTATATGTAATGGCGATAAATCTTGCGAATTTAGATGTTTAATATCCTTACGTTCTTGAAACAAAAGATTGCAAACTGTTCGATAATATACAGTATTATTTAATAGAAAGGAGTTAAATATTCTTTTTGGTGGATACATATCCTCAAACTTGGAAATGTTTCATCTATGAAAGATGTCAGCAGAGTTGATGGACAAGATACATGTGAACCTATCTGATGCTTAGTTAATCGTACAACAAATACAACTTCATGTTTACAGAAATTTAATTAAACCTTACACATTGTAAACAAAATAAAGTTCCGGAAGTACTAAAATTTTTAATTGCAAAGAAAATGAGTTACATGAACTTCTGAGTGTTATACAACAATTTGAATCTCAAAAATTTGTATCCACTCTTATTATATCGCCACAAAATTTATATATACGTCGAATATCTCAAAATAGTTGGTAATGAAGAAGATCAGTTGAGAAGTTTTATTTGCTCAATATTGTAACGATCTCCATAAATCTCAGTATTCATTACTGTACATTGATGACCAAAAGTGGCAATATAAGAGAAGATGACCGAAAGTGACAATATAACAGAAATCTCTCGAAATTGTAAATTGTCAAGGATTCATTTTATTTGGTATGAATACCATCATGGTCAATGACAACGGTGCCATGGCTCTTTGGCATGTTAAGGAAGAGCGTGTACAATAAACGTAGAGTGTGCAAAATGGACATTAACTTGTTCCCTTGGATGTTCCAAACCAGCAAGGCGCTGTTCACTAGCCAGGAAACGTTCACGGTGATGGCGAACCGTAACAGTCCGGTGACCACTATGGTGATTGCCATCGATTCGTCCCAGTATGCCAGTGGCACGTTCAGTGGCAGTATTAATCCGAATATTATGAACATTGGCCAGTAGAACCTAGACATATCAATAGAAAAGGAGTGTATTACCAAAAATGTCCGTTCGTGGATATAAAAACGAAAAATTGCTAAAATAATGTTACACAGAAATTTTGAAAAATTGACACCATTAGTAACATGTGTGTGTTATACAGACATGTGTGTTCCTATATTCTTATATCGTCGTATATAGTATTATATCGAATATAATCTCTAGTTAAAGTAAACGTTTACGAATCGATGTTTACATCCTCTGCAACCAAATATATCCATCCAGATCCATATCTCGCATATCAATGTCGATCTTCGCTTGTTCATAATCGGTGGTCCGTGAAAGAACGTTGGCTATGTAATGGCTGTACAGGAACCCCTTCTTGTGGTTGTAAGGATCCTTGTCAGTACCGTAATACTTGTGATGGAGTCTGTGGTACAACACCCAGTCATATATGGAACCCTACGAATCGACATCAAGTTTTATCGATTGATCATTTTTTTATGGGTAGAAGGAACCGAGCATATCTACCACTCCGGCAAGTGTGTGCGCTAACATGAGGAACAATCGGAGGGTTCCTGATGCCGCAAATGTCCTGTGGGCCCATAACCTGTGGGCGCCCATGGTTACTCCTAGGCTACCGATTGCTGTTATGAAAATCGCTGAAACATGAAGTAATTATTAATTGTAGAATTTGGGATTTGAGAGATTTGGGGCATTTGGCGGATTTGGAGGATCTGGGGGATTTGGGAGAAATTTGGAATTGGAGAGTTGGCATTTGGGAAATTGGGAATTTGAAAATTGCCATTTGAGAAATTTGCAATTCGAAAAATTTGTAATTAAAGAAATATAGAAATAAAGAAACTTACTCTTCAAGTAATAACAAAATCAGCATTCAAGGCCACCGTATATTACATAAAACATAAATATATTAAAATTTTGCCTAGACCCTTGAACCACCCAACATTCGAATAAACCCATTTACATAAAATTATTCCGAAACATAAAGCTACCGTTAACACTACATTACTAAACCCAGCAACACGAAATAAAATTGATCGACCGAAAGTAAAAAACTGCGCCATCAAGCAAGACGAAATGTTGGTAAAAAAGAGCAAAACTGCTTACTAAAGAACACAGTCATCCATTTGGCGGAAGTGAGCATTAACCATACGCCATAGACTCCAAGAATGTGTAGGTGAATGTACCACAAGACGGCTGCCCACTTCACTGGTTTCTTCTCGGCCGACATTTTCGTTTCACCACAAACAAAACTTCACTCGGATGTTCCTCTATTGGTTAAGAAAACACCAATCATCAGTTCTTACATTCAAGATTTATAAAACTATCAAGATGATATAAAACTACGAAATGACTGATCCACAAGTTTCTTTAATTAATTATAAGATACACGTTTTGTTAAAGTACATTCCTTGAAAGCATTGATTTTCGAGATAAAGAATAAATTTGTATACTAATTTATGTTTCATATTGTAGTACTTTACAGTACTAATTTATGTTTTATATAATTTATGTCAATTGTTTATTAATTTTTTAACTTGATTTTTAATTTCAAATTAAGTACACATATGCTGGTATGTTTAGTGTTAAGTTACCTTACGAGTTTCAAACAATATCATTGATCAAATCATTTCACCAATCCATTCATGGTTCGAAATTTTTTTAAAAGAACTTTGTAACTGATTTGTTATATTATAACTGTTTGATATATTATTTATTATGGAACACATTTATAAATATTTATAAAGTATTTGTTGAAGATTCTACGTTAAAGAATATGCATGCGCCATTCTTGAAAACGGGACCATGAAGAATATCGATAAATCAGAGATCAATGAACGTCCGAATTTGTTGCAATCCAAACAGATTGCAGCATCCAACAGAGGATTGTTGGAGATTGAAAGATCGAAATGTGGTTGGTGAACTTGAGTGAGTGTAAGTGAACTGTTCTGGTATATTTACCTAACTGTTACCCTGGCACGAAACACGCTTCTAGAGGAGCCGAAGAAAACTACTTAAACGAATGCTAGCCGCAGACCTCCCGATCAACCTCGTGGCCTCTGTTCGAATTTCATTAGTCTTCAACATTTCACACTGTCATTTCCTTTGTTTTGCTGACAGAATCACGTTCGTTGATTCCATTACGGGAAATCTCGATGGAGTTCTGACGCGATTTCGGTCATTCTGTATGTAGCTTGGAGCGAGGATAGTTTTCTTGAAATTGAGAAATTGGGGAATTTAGGTATTGACTTGGTAGAAATTTGGGTTCGTAAAAATTTGCCAACTTAGAAATATATGCTTGTAAAAATATGGCACTACAAAAACTTAATAACATAACTTATCGAACCTACAAATATTAAAAATTAATTTATAAAATTAACAAAAAAAAAAATGAATAAAAAACTATTCCTACTTGCACATAATTGATATCGATAGTTAAACTTTCTATTGCAAAAGCATGAAATATTCATTCGGAATATAAAAAGACAATTGATGCGTCATGAACTACTCCAATCTCACGTTACTATTACGTAATGAATTTCAAATAACTTGGACTAGAATTCGAAATAAAAGCATTGGAATTACATTCTAGTGCCCCTAATACATTTTTAATAAACTGAGAAATTATTCACGTTTCTTTTGAAAACTAGTGGAAGTTCTTTCGTAATTATTTCAATTAAAGAATTTACTAAACATACTTTAAAATTAAGTATGTTGATACTTCAGAATTTGTTATTGATATTTCCTATTTATTTTGAAATATAGAAAATTGCATTATGATAGTTTAGAAGTGTTTCTAGTCTTATAGATTTACATTATTTTTTAAAATTGCCGCTCTTAAGCTGAGTGGCGCCACTTTAATGTGAACTATTTGTCGATCGTATTCCCATAACTCAATCAATAACTTATCGATTCATTTTTGATGGATTTGATTGCATTTGTTGTTCAAGTATACATTAAATTAAATATGAAAATCTTGAATAGAAGTTATTTATAAAATAATACATTTGGACTTTGAATTTTACCGACATAACCTTAACTAGTTTCTGAGTTCGCTTCTAGATAGCAGCCATAACTATTTTATTGTGGGCTTTTCAAAAGGAGCATTTGTCCTCAAAATCACATCACGGAGTTTTATCAAATTCTTACACAAAATAAATATTTTCAAAAGGCAGCTACTTTCAAAGCTTTGTGACGCTTGTTTAAATCAAATTTTCTACAATTTCGATAACCGTAAATAATTACTCGTAAAGTTGAAATAAATAAACCAGTATTTAACAGAACATCTCTTAAATGTAAAAAGGAAAATCAAGCTTTGCTCAAATCAAATTTTCCACAATTTCGATAGTCATAAATAATCGTTCATAAAATAAATAAACCAGTATGTAACAGAAAATCCTTTAATAAAAAAGATATACAATTTAATAAATAACATCTGTTGAGGTATCTTTCTTACAATCTGCGTAAACTTCTCTGGCAGTGGACACAAGTATTCTCCTTAAACAATACCAAAGAATATTGTTCGTTCCTAATTTTTATGCACATCTACATAAAAATATAAACTATTTTGTTCACTGTCACTCCTCAAAAGTTCAACATTCAATCTCGAAGAAAATCAGCGTTTTTCAATAAAGAGTTCACTTGACTAATTCTCTTCGAAGCATACCACACGAACTTTGTTTTTGAAACAAAACACATTCCCCGAATTATTTTTTAAATTGCAAGTTAGAATTGCAAGTACAAGAAAGTTGTAGTATTGTACGTTCACAGTCATCGCTTCTTGTTCATCATTTCTAATTCCTCAAGATCTTCAGGTAGGATGTCGGCGTCGCCATATCCCCAAACATGGCTGCCATCGCCGGATCTGTTCGCTCTTCGTCGAACCATCGCTGGCGACACGTATTTGCAATCGTAGGCCCAACCGATCCACGCGAAGAAGTCGATGAACGCCGTAGTGATGTTTAGTGAGTAGTTCCCTAGCTCTCCCGTTTTGTAATCCCACGGGAACACATGGTGGAAGTTGTGCCAGCCTTCGCCCAGGGCTGCGATTGAGACTGCGACGTTCTCCACCGGGGAGATGTATCTGCAATTTATTGAAGTTATTAGCTGTAAAATAATTTGGTACATTTTGTGTAGAGTTACAGTTTTAATAGTATTCTCCAAATATGGGAACTTGGGGATTTAGTTGTGGGATTTGGAAATTGAGGATGTGGGAAATTTAGGGACTTAAAAGTTTGAATATTGATGACGTGAGAAATTTAGGGATATAGAAACTTGAAATTTGGGGATTTTGATATTTGAAAATTGGACAATTTAGAGACTTAAAAGTTTGAAAATTGAGGATGTGGAAAATTGAATGATTTAGGGACTTGAAAATTAGAGATTTAGATATTTGAAAATTGGGCAATTTAAGAACTTAGAAGTTTGAAAATTAGGGTGTAGAAAATTAAGGGATTTAGAAACTTGGAATTTTGGGTAATTTGAAGAACTGGAAATTTGTAAGTTAAGGATTTAGGGGTTTGGGAATTTAAGAATTTAAAAATTTAATAGATTGTTACATTTTTTCAGAAACTTACTTGTCATAAGGTCGCTGACCCCACATATGAGCAACGCTATTTACAAAAAACGCAATGTTGAGAGTAACGCAGAACCTGAAGTTGAAATTCACCCAGAAGGATATCCATAGTGATTCTGACCAGAAGTAACATGGCACTGCCACCGGAAATACGATGGTTAGCAGAACAAATAGGGGTATGTACAGTCTGTAAATAGAAAATGGTCATTCATAACAATTCTGAAGCTCACTTCTTTTTATATGTATTAACATTGATGTCAATATATTAATTAATTAAAACCAAATGTCTGTAAGCAAGAGTACTTCACCTTTTCTGCCACATGACAATAGGATCAGCTTCCAAATCACTCATATCCACAGCCTTCCTTTTCGTAATAACATCAGGATGCGGTGTGATGAAGAGCCAACCCACGTGAGCGAAAAGAAAACCCCGTTTCACGTTATGGGGGTCTGCATCGGTTTCGCTGTACTTATGGTGCACCCTGTGGTCCAGTGCCCACGCGTACACGTGTCTCTACATATGAAAAGATCAAACTTTTATTTTTTGTATTATACAGAATTTCTTTATGTTACTGTGAAAGTAAGATAAAAAAAAGATCTTGAAATTGAGATTGTATAGTATATTATAGGGTGCATAGAGTGTCGCAATTAATATTAGTGATTACTCATACTAATCAATGTATCCTGTATTGATAGTAGGTTAAGATTGTTTCCATTTTCTTGGATCTTGAATAACCCATCATCCACCATTTTATGATCAAGTGTTTCTCGTTTTGTTTAACCTCTCTCATTCTGTTATTCTATGTGTATTTAACTTCTACATATTTATGTTCTACACTAGATATACTTAATCAATTCTATTTATATATTTAACTCCTATATATTCTACGTATCTTCTATACATGTATACACATGTGTATCTTCAATCATGTGTACATATGTGTATACACATGTACAATGTATACCTTCTATACTGCTTTGAATACTCAAGTTCTACATATGTATCTTCCACACATGCATACATATACATGTACATCTTCAATCATATATATACATATACACATGTATATACAATATCTTCTATACTGTTTTGAATACTCAAGTTCTACATATGTATCTTCCACATATGCATACATATACATGTACATCTTCAATCATATATATACATATACACATGTATATACAATATCTTCTATACTGTTTTGAATACTCAAGTTCTACATATGTATCTTCCACATATGCATACATATACATGTACATCTTCAATCATATATATACATATACACATGTATATACAATATCTTCTATACTGTTTTGAATACTCAAGTTCTACATATGTATCTTCCACATATGCATACATATACATGTACATCTTCAATCATATATATACATATACACATGTATATACAATATCTTCTATACTGTTTTGAATACTCAAGTTCTACATATGTATCTTCCACATATGCATACATATACATGTACATCTTCAATCATATATATACATATACACATGTATATACAATATCTTCTATACTGTTTTGAATACTCAAGTTCTACATATGTATCTTCCACATATGCATACATATACATGTACATCTTCAATCATATATATACATATAAACATGTATATACAATATCTTCTATACTGCTTTGAATACTCAAGTTCTACATATGTATCTTCCACACATGTACACATATACATATGCATCTTCAATAATATATATACATATACAGATGTATATACAATATCTTCTATACTGTTTTGAATACTCAAGTTCTACATATGTATCTTCCACATATGCATACATATACATGTACATCTTCAATCATATATATACATATAAACATGTATATACAATATCTTCTATACTGCTTTGAATACTCAAGTTCTACATATGTATCTTCCACACATGTACACATATACATATACATCTTCAATCATATGTATACACATGTATATAAGTTATCTTCTACACTGCCTTGAATACTCAAGTTCTATACGTATTCTACTATGTATGTATTCTACTTCTCCTTCAAAGAATTCACTCGTTCGAATATTGACAACTGGCGCACCGCCAACAGAAGTACTTATGAAACACAAACCTGTCCCGTTATAGTAAAAAGGAAAACCAGAAGCAGTCGCAGGGGCCATTTTGCTTTGTACGCCCTGTGGGACCACAGTCTGTGTGCTCCCGCTGTCACGCCGAAACCGGAAGTGTACACGATCACGAATGCTGCAACAGAACGTAGATCAGGTGTATTTATAGTTTCCGAACTCGGAACGGGTAGAGTATTTATACTTCAGAACTTGACCGCGTAAAATGTTGTCGATTTGTCAATTAACTGCTTCGCAGGTCAGTTTGACTTACACCGGATGTAGCGGAGGTTTCGTAACCGAGGTTCTTGAAAATAAACCTGTTACTCGAAATAAATTCCGTTTGTTTTAATTTTGGTATTATGGAGGAGGAGAAGTTTAAAGAATGAATGAAGAATAGTAGATGGAATTTTTGTAATTTTTTTGTAATTGCAATTTTAAGATCGATGGTATCTCGGTTTTATTTAATATCTGATAATAGTCGTGTTTATTTCAGTTGAGATAAGCACGTGTCAGGTGTGGGGTTCATTATATGGCCGAGGCGATATACAGCTTTTCAACTTCTTTCATTTTTAATTTCTTTCATTTTTAATTTCTTTCATTTTCAATTTCTTTCATTTCCATCGTCTATTTTTTACAAATAACGACTACCTTAAAATTATCTCAACAATATATTACAAGAAATAAAGAAAAAGTCTTCAAAAATTCATTTCGAAATAATTTCTGTGAAACACACGCAAAAATAGAAAGAGGTGAGTCATAGCAGATAATGAATTGGTTATATTATAATTGCATTTAAAGCGTAGAAATTATTCGGTACTATGAGATAACGACTATCTTTATAATTGTTCAAGTTATGACAGCGAATTGATCTAGAAGTTCCTGTAATTTATGAAATTCTTGGCCAAGAGCAACGTCATGGATTAATAATAATCGCGCAGGAAATGACTACAGGTTATTTCTGTCGTTGGTGTCAATTTTTCCAACGCAGACATGATGTGTGTCTTACGAGAAATCGGCACGCAAAGTGTTTCCGTTACGACAATCATTCTTGGAACTGATTATATAATTTCTGTAATTTTTTGTTTTATTTCTTGTAACACGACTCGGTCGCGTATTCGAAACATTCGGAGCAATCGTAGATTTAAGTGGCTCGAAATATTCGAAGTTTCTAAAACAGATTCGAATTAAATCTGATTCGAATTGTTGAAAATATTTGGTGCAATTGTACATTTAAATCGTTCAAAATATTCAATGAAATTGTACATTAAAATCATTCATAATATTCGGTACAATTGTAGATTTGAATCATTCAAAATATTCGATGCAATTGTACATTTACATTGTTCAAAATATTCGATGCAATTCGAAATTCAAACACATCAAATATTAGGTGCAATTTGAAACTCATATGCATTAAGTACATGGTGCAATTCGACTTTCATATACAATGTATATTTTTAAAAATCATATTAAAAATGATAAACTTGAAATTCACACTCGTCAAGTATTAGGTGCTATTTGAAACTTGAACACGTCGAATATTCGGTGCAATTTGAAATTTGAACGCTTGGATCAGTTGATATAATTGGAAAATTGATCTCTTCGATGGCTCGGTGGAATTTGAAACCTAAACGCGTCGAATACTCAGTGCAATTGGAAACTTGATCTCTTCGATCATTCGGTGTAATTTGAAACCTAAACGCACCGCCACTCAGTGTAATTCGAAACTTGATCTCTTCGATCACTCTATGTAATTTGAAACCTAAACGCGCCGCCACTCAGTGTAATTCGAAACTTGATCTCTTCGATTACTCGGTGCAATTTGAAACCTAAACGCATCAAATATTCAGCGCAATTGGAAACTTGATCTCTTCGATCACTCGATCTAATTTGAAACCTAAACGCGCCGCCACTTAGTGTAATTCAAAACTTGATCTCTTCGATTACTCGGTGCAATTTGAAACCTAAACGCATCAAATATTCAGCGCAATTGGAAACTTGATCTCTTCGATCACTCGATCTAATTTGAAACCTAAACGCGCCGCCACTCAGTGTAATTCGAAACTTGATCTCTTCGATTACTCGGTGCAATTTGAAACCTAAACGCAATCTCTTCGATTACTCGGTGT